AACATCGAGACTATTTCAATATGGGTCCACTATTTATCACATCTCCTATTAACGGTACTATAGTATTTGATGATTTCGAGTGCATTTCCCTGATCAAATTAATTGTATTTTGGCCTCTTAATTCTAAGAAGATATGAACCCTTCCCGCCGACAATGGTTAGTATAGGTCCATTATTTTGTATAGTCCCATATAACAGTCTCTCACATTTTGACGTAAACTCCATTTAACGATTACATCCGATTTTCTGTTTTTACGTTCGTGGCCACATCTTCAAAGATCATTTGATATTTTAAAATTGCAATGTACAGAAATTGCTCAATCAAGGTTTTAGGAATTCAGTATCTAAATTTTAGGTGGTTGAGCATAAGCGATTTGGCTATTATGATAAAAGCAAAAATTACAATCCATTTGAAAATTTTTATGGATTATCAAGTCTTCAACAACACTCGATAAATAATGAACAACTTTAAGTAGTAGTTAGGCTCCTTCGATATTGGAAATTTTGTTTTTCATTACGACCCAACTAAAACTTCCACTAATGAATAATGGCTATAGGTTGTCAGACCGGCTTATTTCCTAATCTTCATATTGTAGCAGAACATGATTAGAATATATTTGAACCGCGAATTTATGCAACTGCTACAAAAATACCAAATAACGAATTTTCCAACCAATCAACCCATTAACCCATTATTTTTAGGATGGCTTGTCACCCGAAATAAGTAATTATGTTTTGGCACTTAAGGTGGACAAATAGAAAAAAAAAAAAAAAACAAGAAAAACGTGTTGAGTTCGGCCGGGCCGAACTTTTAATATCCTTGAGGCAAAAAAACCTTTAAAAATAAAAGGATCGTTAATGAATATTGTATCCAAGCTGATGGTATAGATTTCCTTCTATAGAGGTTATTACGTTTTGCGATTTTCAAATAATACATTAAAACATTAAAAAAGTAATGATCGATTTTGCCGATACATTTCTTTACAACAGATCATGTATTAGCAAAAACGTTGGTTGCTTATTTCGCGTTCTTTTAATACTTTGAACCCTATGTGGGAGAGGTACCACAGGATGTGGAATCCAAATTCCAAGTACCCTACATGGCATGGGGGTGTAAATGAAAATATTTGCTTTATTTTTCTATATCCACTTTTTTATTTTTTATTCGACTATTGGTGGTGAACTCACAATGTTCCGATTTGAAGGTAAGCATAGAATATAAAAGGGTCGCGAAAAGTCTTACATTAACAACCTAAACTAGTTTATCATTTTCTCATTGGTAATGAGGAAAATAAGTTCCTTGGGAAGTTAACTTGTTATGGGGGTTTTCGGCTCTCACAGCTTCGAAGTGTCCTCATGGCGCTTGTGGATCTGTATTCTCCACTCCCAATAAATAGTTACTCTTTAGAATAATCACCTCTGCAAAATAAATGTCCTGCCTTCATTGAAAGTTCACAGACTGAAAGAAGTACGTTTTTTGGTGCAAACTATGCACTGGCATTAGAGCGTTAGGAAAAACGGTCAAAGTTGGACTTCTTTTTTGTGGCTTACAATGGTTTAAATCTGTAAATAATTGTAAATTTCGTAAATGGCGAAGGAATCTTAGATTTGGTCGAAACTGAATGAAATCCATTTTACACATTCTAATACTCATTGAATGATGTTTGAATGAATTCAGGGCATGTTTCGAATACGATGGAAAGACCCCATTCCAAATGTGGAACAAGATAGATAAATAACATAAAAATACAACTTTGCTGTTATGGCCGCTTTTATAATAACATGCAACAAGTGTTCATCTTTTATTCAATATTTTCTCAACATTTAAAGCGAACAAATGAACTGATTATTTCATTACTCATTTTCATGACAAAACTGATTAAATTCTTTTATGAACGCTCTCCAATAAATTTTTATACCCGCAGCCATATGGCTAAAGAGCGTACATATCATTTGATTTGATAAAAACGTGCCTCATCGAAATATTGGTTTTAGACCATAGTGTCTTTGGATCAAATCCGTTTCAGGACACTTGGAGTCGATCTAGCGATGTCCGTCCGTCTGTCGGTCCGACTGGTTGGTGCGCATTTAAATCTGGTACATCAAAATATTATTGTCAAACTTAGATCGAGTTCGGAGATGGGCAATATCGGTCCACTCCTTCTGGTACCTACCCCACAAAATGTCGATATTTTCAAAGAAAATAATTTACTGCAGAAAAAGAGAAAGGATAATCCGATTTTGTTACAACTTTGCAAATCCTAATATTTGCGCCAGTGCTAGGTTAGGTGCGAAAATGGACAATATCGGTCGACTCCATCAAGTACCTACCCCACAAAGGGTAAACATTTTTATAATTATAACTCTTATAAAATGTGATGTCAGTGTCCGATTGTCTTCAAATTATACACACCACAAACTGTTTATTAACCCAAGGTCTAGTGTGAAGATGTGCATGAAGCTCAAAAAACACGAGATTAACATCCGATTCCATTCAGACTTGGCAGATCTCCACATTTTCATAAAAAATTTTATAACAAGTTAAAAAGTATCAGTCGGTATTGCCGACAGATATATACCCTCAGCCTGTGTTCGATTATTAAAATATAATTTGACTAGTGTTACAATTATTCAAACGTTTGACCCTCTATGGAGCAGGTTCCGAAGGAATGGGCCAATATTGTACATTTCGTATCGGACCCAAAAATATGATATAAATATTCCGACGTTCCCGGTATGGATTATATCGACCCACTCCTTCACTTTATATGAGATATGCAATAATTTTTAGAAAGTGTTAAAATGTGCGTGATTTACAAGATAGAGTCTACCGAAATATTCCACTTGAATACTTCATCTGATACAAATAAAAAATATTGAGCGAAATATTGGGCAAAATCAAAATCATAAATACCGACAGATCTTGGGTTTATAAAAATATTGAATTATGTGAAATTTGAAGACGTTCGGATCCTTACATCACATTATTAAGAGTTATAATTATTCAAAATGTTGACCCTTTGTGGGGGAGGTACTTGATTGAGTGGACCGATACCGTCCATTTTCGCACCCGACCTAGCACTGACGCAAATATTAGGATTTGCAAAGTTAGAGCAAAATCGGCTAATGGTTTCTCTTTCTGTGCAAAAAATATTTTTTATATATATTTCTTTGAAAATGTTGACCTTTTGTGGGGGAGGTACCAAAAGAAGTGGACCGATGTATTGCCTCTTAACACCAGACCTTGTGTTAATAAAAATATTGGGATATGTGAAATTTGAAGACAATCGGACTCTTACATCACATTTTATAAGAGTTGTAATTATTAAAAATTTTGACCCTTTGTGGGGAGGCCCCTGATGGAGTGGACCGATATTGTCCATTTTCACACCTGAACAGGCACTGATGCAAATCTTAAGATTTGCAAAGTTGGAGCAAAATCGAATTATCCTTTCTCTTTCTGTGCAATAAATTATTTTCTTTGAACATCTTGACATTTTGTGTGGGAGTTACCAGAAGGAGTGGGCCGATATTGCTCATCTCCGAACTCGATCTAAGTTTGACAAAAAAATATTACGAAGTACCAAGTTTTAATCAAATCGGATACTCCCTTCGATAGCTATCGTGCGCACCAGGCAGCCAGACAGACAGACGGACGGACGGACATCGGTAGATCGACTCCAAATGTTCTGAAACGGATTTGGTTCAAAGAGACCTAGGGTCTAAAACCATTATTTCGACTAGGCACGTTTTGACCGTATCAAATGATATATACCCTCTGTAGCCATATGGCTGAGGGTATAAAAAATGGTAGAGATCTGACCATTGCTTACCTCCTTCACATAGGGTTCAAGAAAGCATCCAGCCCTCTTCAAATTTCACACATCCAAATATTTTTCTAAAACAAGATCTGTTTTGCAGAAGATATATATCTGCCAACCCCTTCTGGTACCTCACCCACAAAGGGTCACAATTTTAAATACTTATATCCAGAACAACAAGAATGTACTTCCATAACCTTTATGAATCTGTAGAGTACATTATATTAAAAACATGAATATATCGACATGAAAATAGCATTTTTGATTCCTTCTAACCCTTTTCGGGTATTTTCAAAATGTTTATTGCAACGTATGCATCGACAAAATCTACAATTTTTGTAGCGAAATAAACCTTTGGAGATACATAGAACATGATTTTGAAAAGAAATTTAGACATTCAGTTTTCGCGATTGTTTGGTTTTTTGATTGTTTTGATAGTATTTCTGATATTACAAGCCAAACAGATAGACCTCTGTACTTGCAATTTTTTCAAAGTTAGCCTGCCTTGCCTTAATTGTACCATGCTTATAACCATGGCCCAATAAAGAAGGTTGCTCAACTTCAAAGGAACTAGAAATATGCAACTCTGTACTGGAGTCTTATGGTGTCAAATAGAATTTAAATGTGCAACTGTTGGCTTTGTTTATTTTTATTTTTTTTATAAAACTCGTATATTGGGGAAACAAGAATGAAATTTCCGGGTTATTCTACAAGATTGAATCTAAAATAGTAGGTCAATACAGTTTTATCACTAAATTGTACGATTTATTACCCATTTACTTAGAAAATTTGCATTTAGTTTACAACCAAATTTGAAATAATTTCAAATTACTGTATTTTAATTCAAAACAATACACACACATACACAAAATGTGTATTCGTTTTGGCAGAATAAGGGCACCAAAAGAAAAAAATTGTATTTAGGGGGTAGCTTTGTTCTACCTTCTGTAATTATGTCATGGCTGTACCCACACCTTAACTCAATAACGAATACACACAACAAATATTTGTACAAATGTTTCTGTTGTGACTACCCAATTTATGTGTCTGGTCGAACCGATCACACAAAAGACATCCTAAACTTATCGATTACTCGATTTCGGCCTACCTAAATATTGTCTTTGTATTCTGGTTAATCGGTTCGGTTGAAAGTCGAACTAGTTATCCCTAGAGACAACCTCAACCGAGCCAGATAAACAGAAACAACACAACAGTGTGGTCGTGGTACGGTGTATGGTTCGTTTCGTTCAAATTGTTTTCGGGTATTTTGGCGTCTCGTACCTCGTTACGGATTTGGATTTTCCTTCCGGCGTATTGAAGAAGAAAACAATAGCATCAGTTGGATATTAAAGAATTTATGATTTATTTATTATAAAAGCAAGAAAGATTAATTTATATTTCCATTAAAAAATAAACAATATCATACATGCTTGGTGTTTGTTGTTGTGGATTGATGAAGATGAGTTATTGAAAGAAATTAAAAAAAAAATTGCATTGAAATGAAATACGATATGTGATCAAATAAAACCGCCTAACAAGTGCTAAGTACAACAACAGCAAGCAACAAAAGAAGAAGCTGCAAAAAGGAACTTTTTTCAAATTAGATAAAACAAAAAAAGTGAAATAAAGTGATAAAAAGTATCAAACAAAGAGATTAACAAACTAAGTGGCGAATATAAAGTGATGACAGTCAAGTACTAATAGGTGTAATAAAAAAAAAAATAACAAAAAAGCAAAACAGCGGAGTCATTACATTTTGTTGTTATCAAAACAATTGTGAAAAAAAAAAACAAAAATAACAGCAACTTGGTATCTACCGGTGTTCCAACAAAAGGGCGAAGAAAAGAAAGAAAACAAAAAATAAAAATTTGCCGGTCTAACAAAAAAAGCGTTATTGTTGTGTTTGTATCTCAATTACTTGCGTTTGCTTTGATTTGACCTCGCTTAGAAGAGTGCCTTTCCTACCCTTCTACAAACCGACCAGCCAACTACGTACTTCCATCCCCTGACGGTGTTGTCTGCAACAGCCCTTTTAACGATTAAAGTTTGTCTGATTCTAATATCAATCGACGTCGGCGACCAGGACGACCATTCAACCCGCAAGGAATATAACAACAAACAATATCAAATCCACCACCTCCTCCCGCCGTTTTCGGTACAACCAACCTTCAATGCTTTCGAACTTAGTGATTTAGTTTTGTGCCGCCGCCACCGTTGTTCTTTTCGCTTTATGCTTACCTACCCATGTTTGTGTGATTTGTTTTCATCGCAGTGTTCTTCGTCATCATCGTGTTTTTTTAGTTTATTTTGCAACACTTGTTAGTTAACCACATTTTGCCGGCAAAACATAAACGAGAATAGCAGCAGCAGCAGCAGCAGGAACAACAACCATAGTAACTTCAGACTTTGGTAACAAAAACAAAACATCATTAACCTCATGCATAGCAGCAGCAACAACAACAACAGCACATCGGCAAATATTGGCAAGGCAAGAGTTCTTCTATAAAAGGGCAATAAAAATTACAGCAACAACAAAAACATCACACAACATAACAAAGGAGTCAAGAGCACAACGGCCCAGCCAGGCAACCAAAGAGACTCCAAAAATCAGCAACAACAACAACCGCAATATTTGAGAGAACAACAACAAATGGAAATGCAAAATTGAGCTTTTGGTTTGATTGGCACTTAGCACTTCTCACATAAAAATAACTGGAAGAGGAAGAGCTTCATCTTTGGCATCATTGGCTCTCCCTCTCAAGAGAATAGCCCCACGAAAATAACAAACAGAGTGAATAAAATTTACAACTGCCAAAAGAAAAACTATTTGTTTTTTTAATCAAGAAAATATTTTTAAAATTTCTTTCGGAAAAAAGAAGAAAAACAACAATGTTTTATAGAACATTCAACATTTCCATTAATTCTTGCAACAACAACAACAACAACAAAATGAGTTCCTTTGAAGATCGCAACCAACCGTTTGCTAAAACAGCAAAAGAAAAATTATCCTCATCATCGTCACCTCTAAACTGCCTTTATTTTGGAACAAATCTTTACCGTCCTTTGTTTATAACAATACTCGTTATAAGTTGCCTACTGGCCAATGTCCAATTTACATTGGGCCAACATGCCGCTGCACCTCCTCCTCCCATTGCCGCTGCTCTAGCATCACCGGGTGGATCTTCAATATTGGAACAATTTAGTCCGAACTGTACGGTTGTATCACCAATATTCCAGAGTCGTGGCATCGATCCAGCTGAAATTCCACAAAAACCTAGTAATGGTGAGTGCAATTTTTGTTTAAATTAATTTGAAATATTTCGGAGGAAAGAGAAAGGATTCAAAAACTTAAATTACAATTTAGAAGCTATTTATTAATTACAATTATGGGTCAATCAAGGAAAGCAGTATAAAATGTAGTCCCGCTTCTGAGTAATATTTTGAATAACTGCGAAAGCCCAATCTTTTTTCAATTCGGAGGGTAAAATAATCTTAGTCATCTTGAGGTATTACATAATATTTTCCTGTTTGAGAGGAACCAAGACAGAATTTCATTTCATATCAGACAGATGTGGGTCTCAACCAAATCTTTTAAAATAATTATTGTTATTGCTGATGATCCAAGTGTTACCATGGATCAATTGCAAAAACTTAGTATTGTGAAAACTATGGGTTGCTGGATCAATAAAAATACTTAGAAATGTAATGTTCTTGTATGATATGTAACTCCAGGTCCAGTTAATCGAAATGCAGTCGAAATAAAATTGTTCTTATGGGAAAATCGGAAAGTCGACTTCTATGCTTACCGATATCGATAAAATTTGGCAGAGGTATTTCCGAGCAGTATCTGATGCCCGGTATCAAATATCATTGTTGTGGAGTGCATATAACGCATGTGAGGGAATTTAACACCAAATCGGATGAAACATATATATGGGAGCTATGGCTATATCTAAACCGATTTTCACCAACATTAGAAGCAGTTGTTGTAAGGATGAATTCACTCGGAAATGCCAAAATTCAGTCCATTTGGGCTGATATTAGCCATTTGGTGCACAATAAACCTTATGTCTGATACATATATATTGGAGCTATATCCTAATCTGATCCGATCTTGATAAAATTTGACTGAGGCATTTTTCAGCTAAATAAGTTATCTTGTTCCTAATATCATTCTTGTGGAGTGCATATTACGCATGTGAGGGTCTTAAACCCCCAAATCGAATGAAACATATATATTGCAGCTACAGCTATATCAGAACCGATTTTCACCAAATTTAAAGTATTTGCTTCTAGACTGAATCCTATCGGATGTGCCAAAATTCAAGTCATTTGGGCTGATATTGGTAATTTGGTGCACAATTAACCCGAAATCGGCTATATCCAAATATGAACCTAATTTTATACAATTTGGCAGAGGTATTTCTAGGCTGTATGTGATATCTGGTACTAAATATCATTCTTGTGGGATGCACATTACGAATGTGAGGAACTTAATTACCAAATCGAATAAAACATATATATGGGAGCTATAGCTATATATAAACCGATTTGATGTACTTGCTGCTTGACTGAATTCGATCGAATGTCCCGAAATTCAGGTCATTTGAACTGCGATTGGCCATTTAGTGCACAATTAATCCGAAATCGGTTCAAGATATATGTGGGAGATATATCTAAATTCGAACAGATTCTAACCAATTTCAATAGGTTTCGTCCTTGGGCCAAATAAACTATTTGTGCAAAATATCATCTCGATCGGGTAATGAATGCTCTTTGTTTACAATAATACATGGACAGAAAGACGGACAGACAGACATGCATAAATCGACTCAGATTTGTGATTTTATGCAGACCATTAAAAGGAACTTTGAGTCTATCTCTCTTCCTTCTCCATGTTTCAAACAAATTCACAAAGACATAATACCCTTACCATTATGTAGTGTGTGGTATAAAAACAAAAATTAAAGTTCGGCCAGGCGAATTTTTTGATAGCCTCCACCATTTGAAAATACGGACTCTCGGTTGGCACAGTTAATGGGGGCTATGTGACAACGTGGACCTCTTTGGCATATTATTTTCCACAAATGGTGAACTCCAAATAGAAATTTTGATATAATCCTGTAGGAAATTTTGGATAAATTCGGCAAAATATCTAATATGGTGATAAACGAAGATGTTGACCTATGTAGATAATTTTCTGCCATAAAAGTGGTACCAATCTCGAATCAAATACCAAATTAGAAATAATTCTGTCGAAAATGTGACATGAATTATCAAGATAACGAATATTGCTAGGAACAGTTATATGGGGCCTCTAAGAAAATGTGGACACCAAATACTAACATTATAATAATTCCTTTGAAAAATTAGGCTAATATCAGATAAATATCGAATATGGCAATGTACTGATATATGGGGACTATGCCAAAACTTGGACCCATATGAACAATTCTCTGTTGGGATAATTCCGACATCCTGGGAACACAAACAATCAATTTACAGCAAATTTGTTTTAAAATTGTAGATTAACCACCCTAAGTCTTCTAGTACAGTAATATGAGGGCTATACCAAAATATAGACCTATATGGCCCATTCTCAGTACCAAAATCTGAGTAAAAGGTTATCATCCTAATTCATTTCTTCTGATTTCCACAGACGGCCAGTCATACGGACACCACAATATTGAAAAACTCTGGTTAATTTTTCATTTTTCAATATTATTTTAGATTCGCTAATTAACATTTTTAACAATGCTTTGAAAACGAAAGATAGCTGACAAAGAGTGAGCGTCCAATGAATCCTTTTTTGAACTTCGTGGTGACATTTTTGTCTTTATTTTCGATCCTATCCTTTCAAACATATTTTTTAATTTCTTAAGATTTTAGTTACATCAAATTTCTTAGTAAATTTAAATTCATAATTTCTAATTAAATGTATCACCCATCTAATTGCTCCAAATAACAGAAATTTCACAAAAATTGGAGTGGTCTGTCATGAGCGGAGTAGTTTTGAAATATTCTTTTGAATGCATTTATCACTTACTTCAATATTTGAAGAAAACATTAGGACTACCTGCACCCAGTTGACTTTTGGGCCTAGAATTGGTTGCGTAAATAGAATTGATTTCTTACCTGGTCACAGAGTTTACACAGCAATTGCTTAATATTCCCTAAAACTAGCTATTCCAAGAAACTGGCGATACCAGGTAGAACACAAACACACCCAATACATATTGGAAATCTAATAGGTATTAATTCCAAGGAACAATCGAAACAATGAGTTTGAGCGATTACGTTTGGAGGGGTGAAATGTTCCTCATCTTAAGATTTTCTGTTAGTACAATAACTTTAAATAATATTAAATTATGAATAATTTATTATTATAACCACAAGTAACTTTAACACTGTCCGTGGTTCAATGCATTTCACTTTAATTATCTTTATGACTGTATTCCCCCCACGCCAGATTTCCAAGTATGGAAATAAAAAAATATTTTGTTAAGGATAATTTAAATGAGTTATTAAATGATTCAATAAATGTTTCAGGCTCTTCTTTAATGGTTAATAACTTAATTATAATTCCTTGTCTTTGTCGCAATCAAAAAGAAAATTGGCATAATGTCACTCACTCGACATCAGCTTCATTATAAATTAGCCAACAAATCGCTGGAGCCCAACCGAAAAAGGGGAAAAGAATGTTTTTGTTGCTGTTGAACGAGAACGGATTAAATTGACACTTTAATTAAATTCTTTATATTTTTTTGCTGCTGTTGTTGTTGCTGCTTGCTTTCTGTTCACAAGAACAATTTACAATAATCTTGGCAAAATTTATGGCAACATAAAGGCAGGCAATACCGGGCAGACAAACAAATGAAGAAACAGTTAAACTAACAATGTTCGGAGAGATAGATGGATGAAGATTGGATGTATGGAACGGCCAAACAATTTGCTAAATAAACACAAGTGCATAACACCCAAACAAATGCTGAGCTATTTAATGATGACTGTGCTTGGCTGGCGGCTGTATATCTGTTGTCTGACTGACTGTCTCTCTGTCCTTTTTGCTGGATATCTGCTATAAAACTTGAGCAGCAACAGCCATCGACTTATGCCAGACCAGCGGCAGGCTTCGCCTATCATATACAACAACAACAAAACACACACTTACAATTTGCCAAGACTTGCAAATTGTCTGTCCGTTCGTCCGTCTGTCAGTCAGTCAGTTTATCCATCTGTTTGTTCTGTTCTGTCTGTTTACATCTGTCAGTTAACACTTCCATTTGTTTAACCTCACTAATAGCGTTTGTTTTATTTTGGCCTGCCCCTTGTTCTTTTTTTCGCTTCGCTTCGTTTTTTTGCTGTTTCTGTTTTTGCTCATCAGTATTTATTTTATTGCCGATCTTAAAACGAATTGCATGTTCCTTTCTTTATTATTTAATTATTTGTAATGGTCGCTTTGTCTGGCAAAGACCCTCCGTCCAACTCCAGCAATATTATGGTGTGACGGACGTCATGCTGTTCAACTAGCCATTTAACTTGCCATTTTCAGTTACCCTTTCCAGGCTAATGTCAATTTTATTTTTTGGGAATTTCCTTTATTATACCCTACAACACTTTGTGTTGGGGGTATTATAAGTTTGATTGGGCCAAAAATTATGTAACACCTCGAAATATTGATTTCCCACATAGGAAAGTATATACGGATCTTCCTATCTCGCCGAGATGAGTCGATCTAGCTATGTATGTCCGTCCGTCCGTCTGTCCGTCTGTCCGTCTGTCCATGTTAATTTGTAATCACTCTACAGGTCGCAATTATGGCCCGATCTTCACGAAATTTAGAATGGAGGTGGGGATAAGGTCAGAATAGAACCCTATTTCTTTTGGAGATGATCGCACAATATTTGGGGGTCGAAATGGACCAAAAACTGAAAAAAATCCTGATTTTGCAGTTGCTCTACAGGTCGCAATTATGGACCAATCGACGTGGAAATTAGCATGGGGCTAAAGCTTCGGGCTGGGCAGAAGCCTTCCGATTTTGATGGTCATCGGGTAATATTTAGTGGGTGAAAAAGACTATAACATTTGTGTTAAATAAAAGTCAAATTTCCATTATACCGCGAATATTTTTAGTCCCGGTGAAATCATAAATAGACGAACAAGTCAATTCTGACCGTTACGTAGATGCCGATAGTAAATATATCGGATATATATAGCGAAATATATACAATGTGTATATACAAAGGAAAGGAATGTTAGATGGAATGCTTATATCTCAAGAAT